ATGGTATGATGGGCGTTAAAGTCGCCAAACACAATTATGTGGGCAAACGGGTGGAGGGAGAGAGCCTTGTCTATGCTGTCAGAAATGCTATCGAGTATGCCACAGTCTTGAGAGGATGGAGAGCGGTAAAGGAAGAAGAGATAGCTTACCACATTGACAAGAGATAGACGGAGACACATGCACGACTGGTCTGGCGATTCGAGAGACAACTCTCTGGCCAGAGAGAGATGGCCCTTGACGTAGACACCAAGGCCTTGCATGTGGGTTATAGAGTCTTTTCTGAGGACAGAAAGGTAGCCTGGGATAGAGAGATCAAAGGAGGGGATAGACGAGACAAGGTTGGTCTCACAGAGAGCCAGTATATCCGGGCAGTTTGCAGTGAGGAAAGATTCCATACTGCAGAAGTTTGTTCTAATGCCACGGATGTGTTGAGGGTTTATTAAACATACACAAAATAACGTTAGCAGTTGAACTATATATATATATATATATATATATATATATATATATATATATTTAAAGATATGATTTGTGGTACAAAATTTTATGACCGCCATAAAAAGAACCACTCATGATGGCAATACATAAAACTGAAAAACGGACCCGTTAACCGATTTCGAACTTCGCTCAACAGAACGAACTAAATCAAAGCTAATAAATTATAATACAATTATCACTAAAATGATGGACAATATGTATTCGAGGGGGTATGCTTAGATAGAAATTAGTTGGAGGCCAAGTAGGAAATCTTTCTGTTTACGCAGAGAGGGCTTCAAAGATAAAATAGAAATGGCCTCTAATACTTTTAAGTGATAATTCGTGTGGGACTTGCTAAGAATAGTAAATGAGTTCACATTGAAATGAGCGGCACAATTATGGTTATTTATTAGCTGCTCTGCGATGGAAGACCCATACGTATTGGTCAGAATGTCTGAAAGAATGTACCTAAGATTGCGGCGGATTCGTCTTTTATTCTGACATCCAGCCTTTGAGTCTTTCTCCCTGTGTAGTGTGAACCAAAACTACATTTAAAGGAATAAATTAAAGAACTATTATGATGTGGAGGGAAAACGTCTTTCCGCATGGACAGAAAAGCAGGTTTGGTAAAAAAGACCACACGAGTGTTACCAGCAAAGTAACAATGTCGAACTGCTAAGGAAACATATTTAGCATAACAATCACTGATATTACACAGCCAAGGAAGACGTGGGTACACAGGACATCTTTGTACGATAATTTTATTCCTAATTATTGATTGAATAATGCCCAATGGATAGACATTGTTGCAGAGAGTAGTGGTAATATATATATATATATATATATATATATACACTGCGTGCCAAATTATTAACGAGATAACTTTTTGCTAATATTTTAAAACCCGTCCAATCAATTCACACAAAATTTTCACACTATGGTGGCAACACTGAGCTGTTAATTGTAGGATGTCATCTGCTGTAATGCCGCGAGATAGGTCAAGAATTGCTTCCCACAACTCAGCGTTGCTCCTGAATTGTCGTCCGTTGGCGTACAGTCTTCGATTCATGATGCTCCAAAGGTTTTCGACTGGGTTCAAATCCGGAGAATTTGTGGCCACTTCATTTTTCGAGGTCTATCGAAGCCTAACTGTTTTAGATATTCAGTAGTCTTGTGAGCAGCGTGTGAGGGAGCATTATCTTGCATAAAAACAATAGCCTTTTCATCCACGGTTCAAGATGCTCCTGCATAAACGCTATGTATGCATCAGCAGTCTTTTTAACGCCATCTGGTACTCTTCATGGGCCCAGTAATGTGTTTCTAATAATACCACCCCAGATCATTATGCCTCCACCTCCTTGTTGACGTCTCAAACACTGATGGCGATTCTGTCCGTTCATTACCCAGCCTTTGCACCATTTATCTGGCCCATCAAGTGTTGCTCGAGTTTCGTCTGTGAACAAAACTTTAGAGAAGTCAATCTTCATATCGTCCTTTGCCCATTTCAATCAATTTTGAATGTGATTTCTCGTGAACGGAGGCTTCGATACAGGTTTGACTGTTGTTGCTATTTCCCTCAGATAGCGACACCGAATACTTTTAGACACAGTAGGATCCCCAATACGACTGAAAAGCTCTTGACTGGTAAGTCCAGGGTTCTTCGTGGCCTCTCGACATGAGACGACGTGAAATAACCCTCGGCTTGCCTTTATATGCCCTTTTGCGTACTTGCGGCGGTGAATTTTTCACTGTTTGATGACACTTCCCTATCATTTTAAAAATTTCTAGGGTAGATTTACCTTTTGAGAGTTCTGAGGTAATAGTTTTCTTTTCAGCATCACTTAAACTGCTTTTACGGCCCATCTTTTTACTAAATTCTTATACTTTTCTAATAATTTGGCACGCTCAAATCACCGTGCTGATAACAAATATGGCGCCAGTTTGTTTACATTGCGCAGATCAGTACGAAAATTTCAGTGATTGCGCAGGTCAGTGTTGCCAACATTGTGTGAAAATTTTATTTTTGAAATATTAGAAAAAAGTTATCTCGATAATAATTTGGCACGCAGTGTATATATATATAAAGTAGTTTAATTGTAATTTTTACGCATGAAGAGGTTTAAACCAAGTGTTACTCCCCATTACGCAGGGTTCATGAAATATTCTGGCCAATAGATGGAAATAAAAGAAATATAGTATGTAATAATATATACTATTATAAATATACTGTTTAATAAATGAATAAAAACAGAGCATTTACTTAAATATGAGTATCCATTAAAAGTAACGTTTACACAACTATATATATATATATATATATATATATATATATATTTGTCTGATATATCGTCAAAAAAAGTGAATCCCAGGGTAATAAAGTAATATCCATACAACTGACGTCATATATATATATATATATATATATATATATATATATATATATATATATATATATGACGTCACACATTATGAAATGGAAAAAAATCCGACAATTATTTTTAGCCATTTTTTATTTTTATACGTTCTTTTTATAGATACAAATATTTAAGTAAATGCTCTGTTGATAATAAGCATTTACTTAAATATTTGTATCTATAAAAATAACGTATAAAAATATAAAAAAAAATGTCTTAAAATAATATATGAGACCATAAACAGTTTAAAAAATCCTGAGAATTTAAAGATTAAACATCGTTCGTGAAAATGCTCCTTCCCTAAGGGTATCTTAATTCCAATTGGAAAGAAAATTTGCTCTGTTTAAAGAAAATAAACATGGAGCGCTCTTTTAGGAGTCAGTTTTGACATTTTTCAAATAGTATTTGTATTAATAGGACTCGCCTGGATAATACCAACGGATTACTATATATATATATATATATATATATATATATATATATATATATATATATATATATATATATATATATATACATGTATATATATATATATATATGTATATATATATATATATATATATATATATATATATATATGTATATACATATATATATATATATATATATATATATATGTATACATATATATATACATATATATATACATATATATATGCATATGTATATATATATATATGCATATGTATATATATATATATATATATATATATATATATATATATATATATATATATATATATATATATATATATATATGTACATATATATATACACATATATATATATATATATATATATATATATATATATATATATATATATATATATATATATATATATATAGGAAAATGAAATAAAAAATGAATTAAATTTTAAATTTCAGCGTTTCCTTCGCTACTTTATTGTAAACGACGTTCGCGTTTTTATATTTCCCCTCCGCTTCATACACATATATAATTCCATCAACAAAAATATGACTTTTGTCCGATGAAGTCTTTCTGATCGGAGTAAGACTAGTCAAAAATAAATAATAGATTAAAGTTTTGGTGACACACTAATTGTGAGTTCAATTCCTGAACCGGGTAGTAGCAACTTATTATACTCATTGAAATCAAGATGAGAAATAACTGAGCAATACGAAATAAGTACTTGACGAGTTACCTCCCCTACACATGTTAAGCGAAACGAGAACAATCAGCCGCCATAGATTAAATAAAACCTTCAGTTCGAAATTCAGTGAAGTTTACCCAAATCGAAAGATATTGAAAGAAGGCCGAAGAGCACAACGACTGACGCGCTGAAAGCTTAGCTGAAATGTAAATTATAGTTAGTTATGTTTTTATATTTTTTGTGTTGTGTGTCTAACAACAATCCAAACAATATGGATATTGTTTTAACTGAAAGTTTGTTCGTAGGATCGCTGTGCAGATGGACTCCTGACCAGCTCCCTGCATATAACTCGGATATGTGCCAATTTCTGGACTGTGAAGGATATTCCAGTCCACTCTGTGACATCGCCAGCCATTTTTACCTCTACTCTTCTCTTGCATGATTGATGGTAACATGTCATTCTTAAGTTTGGAATAATATTTTTGATTTCATCGAACATGTTTTCTTCAAGCAGGGAGGATATTGACGACAAAAAAGCGGGGTAATAAATGCGAACGCCTTTCTTTAAATTTCTTTGGGCATTTATTTTTCTTTAGAAAAATAATTTTTTCTTTATTTTGAAGTAAAAAGAAAACACACTTAAATATAAATAGCGTGGATTCAATAGACATTTAATCCCTCTGCATTCATTGTTATTGAGTAATGATTAAATAAATGAAGAATTATTATCGAAACATTCCGTGTGGCATATGTTTCGCTCTAATTAGGTCTTATTCTTGATCGAGCGTTGATCGGGGAAATTCATTTCCCCATCTGTAACATTTTTTTAATGTTTTTATTCGCTTTCATTCAACATTGAAGGACGCAAAATTGGGATATTGTTTCGTAAAGGGTTCAGGGTATGTATTACATGTATGACAAAAGATCTATGGCAAATTTGAATGGCGACAAGGACAGAGCGTTAAGAAAACCTTGTCTCGTTTTAAGAATTTCTGTTTAATAGATAGATAGATAGATAGATAGATAGATAGAGGAGATTGAGAAAGAAAGACAGAGAGATATTAAATAAATAAATAGATAGACAAATGGATAGACGGGAACAAACGGATACATACATATATACATAATTACAACTAATATACATACATACATAGATTTGAACAGACAAAGACAACTAGATGCGAACAGATATAGACAGATAGAGTTATAAATGTGAACATCTTAGATAAATTTGAAAAGAATAAGAAAGAAAGGCAGACAGATATTGAAGTGATCGATCGCTAGATAGATTGATGGGAACAGATTTAGATAATGAACAAACTGAGATAGGTAGATACTTAGATAGATAGATAAATTTGAACAAAACAAACGTCGATCTGAACAAAGTGAGACAGATTGAGAGAGAGGGAGACATGAACAAACTGAAATAGACAGATCTGAAGGGAATGAGAAAAACAGACATGTATTGATAAGATTGATGTGTGCAAACATATAGATAGATGTGAAAAAGCTGATAGATACATCAATAGATGTGAAAAAACTGATAGATCGATAGATAGATGTGAACAGACTTAGAGATGTAGTTGTGAACAAACCTATATAGATAAATGGATGCAAAGAGAATTAGATAAATGTAAGTAAAATTAGATAGAAAGGTCTGAAAGGAATGAGGAAGACAAAGAGATGCTGAAGAGAGAGGTAGCTAGATGTCAACAAACTGAAATAGACAGATGAGAACGGACTTAGATAAATAGGCAGATGCGAGCAGTAGATAGGTAGATGGATAGATAGTTTTGAACAGACTTGGATAATTTTGAAAAAAATAGATATGAATAAACTTAGATGTGAACAAAGTGCGATAGATTCATAGATAGACATGAACAAACTGAAATAGATAAATCTGAAGAGAATGGAAAGGACATATATATTGAAGAGATAGATGTGTTCAGATAGATGAATAGGTAAATAGGAACAAACTGATATGCACATAGATAGATAAAGTGGGTGGACTGAGATAAATAGATACACACATACATACATGCATACATACATACAAACTGAAATACACAGAAAAATGGGATACATAGATATGAACATAGATAGATATGAACAGACTGAGATAGATAAATATGAACAGACTGGGATAGATAGATAGATAGATAGATAGATAGTGTTATGCGCGACGGATAGCAAAAAAAAACGGTATGTCCTCCGCGTAGAGAGTTGGTTTCCTCGTCGCCACTGTTATGGTCCGGTTCCTTGTACCACAGTGATAGTCCAAGGTAGAACCAATAAAGAAGAACTCGAACACGGATGTGGAATAACACAGATATATTACAAACAGGAATATATACAGAGAAGTAGAAAGTGTTAGTATGAACAATCAGATTTAGTAGTAATTGTCTGAACGCGACTCTGTTTCAGACTGCCTCTGACTCGACTGACTGACTGACTCACTCGCTCGCTCTGACTGACTGGCAGACTCCTGACGGACCTCACTCCAGACTTCAGACTGAACTCTCTGCTTCCTCTTGAGGCGCAGTATTTATTACGTATGGAATAGTCCATTATGTTATTATGGGTAAGGTCCCATAATAGATAGATAGATAGATAGATAGATAGATAGATAGATAATGTGGGTGAACTGGGATAGATAGATTCATACATACATACAAACTGAAATACTCAGAAAAATGAGATAGATAAATAGATAGATGTAGATGAACTGAGATAGAGAGATAGATACGATCAAACTGAAATAAGAAGAAAAATGAGATAGATAGATAGATAGATACGAACAGAATGAGATAGATAGATAGATAGATAGATAGATACGAACAGAATTAGATAGATACGAACAGAATGAGATAGATAGATAGATAGATAGATAGATAGATAGATAGATAGATGTGAAAAATCCTAGAGAAATATATAGATAAATAGGTGCGAACAAGTATAGATAGACAGACAGGTACACGTGAAGAAACTGAAATAGATATGTAGATACATTGAAAGATGTGAACATAAGGACATAGATTGATGCATAGAGAGATCGATAAATAGATCTGAAGAGAATTAGAAAGAAAGACACAGGTATGGGAAGCTAAATAGATGTGAGCAAATAGACAGATGTGAGCAAATAGATAGATGGGAACAGCCTTAGATAGATGTAAACAAATTAGATAGATACGTAGATGTTAACAAACTTAGATGTGAAAAAACAAATGAGATACATAAAGAAATAGACACGATCAAACTGTAATAGATAGATAAATAGATGTGAACAGACGTTGATAGATAGATTGACAGATGTAAACTGTTGAAGCTTGGATAAGCATGGAATAATAATAATACAACACAAAATGTACGTAAACAAAATGTATTGAAACAAGGAAAAGGTACACAATATTTACAGTTAGTTTTGGTATATTCTTGGGAAGACTGTTCCTGTAGAATGGGTTGACTTAATCGCAGTCGGGCAGAGTCTCTCGATTCGATCTCTTCTTACTTCTCCCCCGTCTTCCGGTATTAACCCATATTTATATCGTCGGTACTCCACTATGTAAATTAGGTGGATCGTACCACAACATAAACAAACTGAGATAGATAGAGAATGAGAAAGAAAACTCTACTGGTTTAGCTACATTGAAATGTTGTTTCTTATTTATTAAACGCAATCATTATAAATTTCAGTAATCATTTAAGCAAACGGGGTAATAATTCTTGTGAAAAAAATCAAGCCACTTGAGTTCTCATCAAAATTATAAGTTGCTTATATAGAAAAATCTTGTAAAACATAGTAGACTAATTATAAAAGGATTAAACCACTGTAATTCATAAAATTCGTTGACGTAGAAAGAAATGTATTGAGTATCCCTTGGGAATAAAGTCTTACTCTTCAATTATTTCAGCCAACTGCCGTTAACTTGTATTATACGATTGCTTAGATTTGAATGTGCAATTAGCGTAATCGTCTAAAGCCCATAACGAGAAATCGGGGAGTTCGAATTTCAGTCGAGTTTATTGCATTCACTTTGCAGAAATATCATTGAGAAACCATCAAAAGAAATGAAGCATTCGATTAAAGGTTTTCAGATAAATTAGATTCACTGGTACGAATCAAAGCCGTTTCATGTAAAGGCTTTGTTTGTAATCATCGCGTCACAGCGATTTGATCTTGAATCGCATTAGCTTTTGCCAATGTTTCTCAGCCGTTGATCTGTCTGGAAGCAAAGTTAGAGATAACGGTTTCCACTTTGGAATTGGCACGGCGTCTAAAAAGATTACCAAAAAGGAGATAAACTTGAACAGATCTTTTCGGTCGTAGATTTTGAACGATTTCAAACATCATAAACGTCATTATTTATTGAGCGCATGATTCCAGAATATTTATTCGGCATTAAACTCTGATGTTTAGAAGAGAACTGAATCTCTCTGAAGGAAATTTTATATTTCTGTCGACACGTGAGAAGATTTGCAAATGAATCATTTTTCATTTTATAAAGTCCTTTATCCTTTATGATCGTTTCATATAACGATCATATTCCTATACACCCTATAATAAAATCTTTCTTCTGTTCTCTTCTACGTAGTTTTGAAGAGGTTTATTGACTTCTCACCCTCCAAGTTCTCAATTTCTAAACCAGATCGTTGCCCGTACAATAGCTTTTCTATATTCATAGTGATTAGTATTCTGCAATCATTCATAACATAATTCTCAGAACGATACCCGCTGTACATCAGATGCCATTGGTTATTATGAAAGTTATCCTTGTCTTTATTATTATTATTATCATTATCATCATCATCATTCGATTTCTGTTATTACACTTACCAAGTCTGCGGATTCGTGGTTATTATTTCATTATTACATAGACAAAAGTTCTCCTTAGTGTGTTTGCTGTACTTAATAAGACAATTTTCTGTATGTCTCTAAGTGGGGTTTCCAGGGATTCTTCAATGTGTTGTTTTGTTCCATTTTTTATAATTCCAAGTGCAACCACTGGTATTATTCTTGTTTTCAACAGACATTTTTTCTATTTCAATTTCCAGGTCTTTGTATTTTGATAGTTTTTCAAATTCCTGACATTCAATCATAAAAAATTAGTTTTTTTGTGGTCCCCCTATTTGCATGTCTGTGTGGATGGTATAATCCCATAGAATGGTGACATCTTCTATTTCTGATGTAACCGGCGCTGGCCGATGTTCATACCAGTGTTTGCCACATTTTCCAAAGTTCACATTGTTGTAAGATTGCCCCCACTCTATCGTGACGATTTTATATTCCAAGTATAGAACATCCTGAGATTAGATGGTCTATTGTTTCTTGGTATTTGTCACAGAACCTGCATTTATTATGTATTTTTCTTTCCTTAGAAAAAGACTCTGGTCATCTGCAAGAATAAAAGCCCATCATTAATCCAGATGCTCGTAACCATCGATGAGTATTAACTTTATCAACATTGTTTATTTGCATTCTGGATATTGGCCATCTTCCAGCGTTGTTTCATCTGTTCAAGGGCTTTATCCTTGGCTTTTTTTTTTCTTTTGCTATATTTACTACAGAATCTACTAAAATGTAAATGTTGTTTGTATTTACTGCCTTTTTTATTATTGAATATTTTTTCTTTCTGTTTTCATGTTGTTTCAACATCCAGTTTTGTTGTTTCCATAAGATGTGTTTTGTTCGGACTGGGACTGGGGTAATATATATGTTTCAATATATTTTTCACAATTATGAACGGTGATTTGCCTAGATTACCCTATTGGTCTGAATTCAAAATTACTATCCCTAACCAGAATAATGAAGTTACCTTATTATTCTGCATAATTTGTGATGGCTTATGTTCCTACCAATTTTCTTTGTGAGGGAGGTTGAATGTGAGACATATTGATAAACGTATGTACTGAGCAGCTCTGTCACGTAATCTGTTGCGTCAGACGTCCGCACACAAGTTAACTATTATTATTATTATTATTATTATTATTATTATTCCAGCAATCCAGGAATGTGGTACACTATCGAATGCTTTACGATAATCTATCCAGCATCAGGGACACTAGAAGTTACAATTTAAAGCCTAATATACTTATCATGTTATAAGTCCTGATAAGGGTTTACGAGGCACAAACATCACGGCCTAACGGGTACGAAATGATGAAAGATTTTGATAAAAGCTGAACATACTTTTAGAGATAGATGTCAGAAGTAGCAATGATTTTTGCAATTCACATATTTTAAGACTGCCAGTAATTTGATATTAGATATCATGTCCAAAGTCTCAATGACAATAGGTAATGTTGTTGTCTTGAAATGCTGTATTCTACTATCTCCAGTTCCTTGAATTTGCTTAGTTTCTCAAACGTTTTCTAAGATGTGTTTTGATCGGCTGGGACTGCAATATATATATGTTTTCAATATAATTTTTCACAATTATGAATGATGATTTGCCTGGATTACCTATTGGTCGGAATTCCGATTGCAATATTCTGTAATAACCAGAATAATGAATGTTGCCTTATTATTCTGTATAATTTATGATGGCTTATGTTCCTACCAATTTTCTTTTTTTTCCCCTGAGGGTTTTGTTGGTTGAATGTGCGACATATTGATCAACGTATGTACTGAGCAGTTCTGTCACGTAATCTATTGTCGTCAGACGTCCGCATACCAGTTAATTATCATTATGATTTTTTTTCAATTCACATATTTTAGGGCTCCCAGGAATTTGATCCACATATTTGTTTGCTTCTTTAGATATCATCTCCAAAGCACCAAATGACAACGGGTAATGTTGTTGTCTTCAAATGCCGCATTCTACAGACTTCAATCTCGAGTTCCTTGAATTACTTTAGTTCCGCAAACGTTTATGTGTTTTGTTCGGCTGGAGCTGAAAAATGTATCAGAAGATTTTGTCTTTTCAGTATAATTTTTTACAATTATGAATGGTCTGTTTGCCTGGATTAGCGTATTCCGATATTCCAGAGGATGATAAGCGCATTATTCTGTACAACTTGTGATGATTTATGTTGCCACCAATCCTCTTTGCGAGGGAAGCCGAATGCGTGGCATATTGATATGTACTGAGCAGCTCTATCACGTCGTTATCGCCAGACGTCCTCACACCAGTTAACTATTATTATTATTATTATTGGACAGAAAGTAGAATACCTGGATCGGGACACTAGAGTACAAATAGTTAAAGCCTAATATATTTATTATGTTATAGGTCCTGATAAGGGTTTACGAGGCACAAACATCACGGCCTGATTGGTACGAAATGATGAAAGATTTTGATAAAAGCAGAACATTTGTATATATATATATATATATATATATATATATATATATATATATTAATTAATTTAAAATATGGTTTTTCCGGCCTAACGGGTACGAAATGACAAAGTTTTAACCATGTTTCAAAAAATGGAAATTCACATTTTTAAGCTAAAAGCCCCAATGAATTTAATTTTTGTAATTAAATTAAAGACGTTAGTTCCATTTCAGCCATTTCTTTTCAATTTATATATATATATATATATATATATATATATATTATAGATTTCTTTTTTCTTTAATCGAATTCACCCCAAGGAAGGCAGTAAAGCCACGATGACACATGGGGTTATTATGTGTTTAAGAATTAGAAAACAGAAATATTATTAATAGAGTTGTTGATAAGCCGCTAAACAAAAATCAACCATTATTTACATTATTTGGACTATTGTCCTCATCTTTGTCGCCATATTTGTCACAACGTTTCGGCCGTTGTACGCTTCAGGTGGTTGGAATGTCGAACCGAACCCTTTATTTCGATCACTGGGGTAGACTGTTCTAGTTCCACGTGCCATGTTTGATGGATGTCAGTTATCAATTATCTCCTGTTAATTTCCCTCTGAAAGCTCTCCACTCACAC